ACAAGTCTCTTCATATCCATTCATAAATTAATTCATATCAGTTCATAAGTCTCATTTCAAATCAGTTTATAAATCATTCCATATCAACTCATAACAAGTACATGTAATAACCGGCTATTGATTACTCAGTCTAGAGATTAAACCCCTTCTAGGTGGGTGACCAATAGATTTCATGACTACCGATTGGTCTCATTTCATACATGGGTCAATCGGTCAGACTTTATACCAGACTACCATGACCTTGTCAATTAGCCGAACTTTATACCAAGTTACCACGACTTTGTCAATCAGTCGGACTCTATACCAAGCTACCATGACATTGTCAATCGGCCGGACTTTATACCAAACTACCATGACGATTAGACAGGATTATAGCTCCTACCGTCTATCTCATGACTGTTTTGAGTTTTACTTGTCAAAAATTTATTCTACATGTCACATACATAAATCATTGACTTCATAAAGATTCAGCTTGTTTGGTACATAATACATATCAAACCATTTCAAATAAGTCACATGGTCCATTTTGTATAGTAAAAATATACTTCCATAAATATCCAATTAAAGCATTTAATCAAATACATTTCGAATCAACACAACAAAATAGGATTGACAACAAAAATTTCATTTTGCACCTTTGAAATCTCAGAAGGGTAAGTACCACCTACCCTTGTTTGGCTGCTCGAGTGAAACTACCTTAGATGCTTGTACCGTACCTATCAAATGCATGAGTTCCCTAATCAGTTGTTACTTCCTATAGATGCATAAAGGTACAAACTCTGAGTAAGTCGAAAATTCGTGTCTAGACCATTATATGAACCCTAATAGCATCTTCCTTAAATTGGATGATTTTTATTTTTGCAAAGTTTCCTAATTTGGAAAGTTTCTATTTTTAGAAAGTTTCTTAATTGGGAAGGTTCTCCTTTTTGTAAAGTTTCCTGATTTACAAGAAAATAATTACTCATAATCATGCTTATTATCTTGACTGCTATCTTACTATATCAATTTATAATTTATAATCATTCATTATTATTATTAGTGTTATCGGCAACATTATTATTTACTACTATGATTATTATCATTAGTGTTATTATTAGTATTATTAGTAGCATTATTATTATTATTATTTTAAGCATTTCGTTTAACAATTTAGAACTTATCTTACCTTTGTCTAATTTGGCTTAATACGGTTAAATTATGATATTTTAGATTGCCATTTAAGTATCTTAAACGTGATTAACTAAATATAATTTTACATGACTAACCTTTCAATTCTAACAATTTCTTAAATTGGGTCCTGAATTTTACTACTCACAATAAACTATAAAAATGGACTAATTACATTTAAAATTTATTTATTAAATATTTACTAAATTTTATATTACAGTTTAGTCCAAATCTAATTTATCGTTTTTCTTCCTCGGGTTGGACCCATGGTTGGCCAACCATGTCTGACCATGCTCTGGCGACCCAAATCTTCGGCCAACCATAATCTTGTTCCATTGATGGCGACATCATCTATCCCTTTTTTTTTTTTTCTTTTCTGGTCTTGGATTAGCTTTCGGCCAACCTTTGGAATTCTTTTCTCTGCCGCCAGAGATGGCGGCCGCACTCTTCCCCCTTTCTTTTTTTTTTTTTTTTTGTGTGTGGCATTGCTTCTGCAACGTCTAGCCAAGGCTGCCGCTGCTCTTCCCTTCCCTTTTTTTTTATATATATATTTTTTGTTTTTCCCCCAACAGATTTGGGCAACCTATTTGACCAAGGATTAAAATCTAACACCTTATTTTTACGAATCCACATATGAATCTTCCTAAAATATATATATAATAACAATACAAATTCGTAAAATCCCTAGGACAATTAATGCAACTACTAAAACTTAAAAGAGAAGTTTTGCGCGAACTCGACATTTACAAGTTTAGGTGCCTAGTCGTCTGATTGATTGGCGGTGTCGCCTGCTTCTCTTTCTCTACTCTCTGACGGCTCTTGCTCTAGGGAGGCCGACTAGAGAAAGGATGGTGTTATTTTTCTTTCTAGGGTTTCAATAAAATCCTAAACCTAGCTCTACCCACTAGTAGGTGGTTTGGATAAGAGTTTTAGTTTATTAGAAACCCTTATCCCATCCTACAGTTATTTTATTTTTCTTTTACTTAGAAATTTTATCTTTTTAATTAATTGGAAAAATAAAATAATAAAAATCGGTGTCAAAAATCATGGATTTTACAACATTTACATGAACTATGAAGCCTTTGGAATAAATATTGCAATATATCCCTTGGGTTGTGAACACTCTTTCTATTGGCGTGGGGCTATTGGATGCTCCTAATCAAATAGAGCAAGATGAGGAGTCGAAAAAGGCTTATCACGAGTAATTTGTGTCTATCATTTCTAAAATGGATGGATAATTTCGAAACCTCTCTTGAGATTTTTGATAATTTCACTTAGTTCCCTTAAAGTTTTAAAATTACATATACATCTCTTCAAGTTACCATTTTGGTAACAAAAACTATTCAGTTGTCAAAATTTTGAATAAATAACCCCAAATACTCTCATAAAATGTGAAGTTCATTTACTTTCCTATAAAATTCTTAAAAGAATTTGGAACATATACAACATCAGAAACCCAATTTCAACCTTTATTTCTACTATTCTAAACCTTCCATATTCCCAAATCTCAAATCAATACTATTATCTCCATCACCACCACTACTATTAGTCCCTAAATTCTAAAATCTCAATCTAAACGAAAGAAACAAAACTAGCACTATTAAATTTAAAAAATTTCACCAACTTCATTCATTTAGCACCCTATCCCTCAAATGTTGGAATACCAATACTAGCCCATCCTTCTTAAACGTTCAATTCACATCTTCTTCTATTAATCTTTAGATCCTTTAAGCAAAACTAAAATTAATTTGTAATATGTTTAAAATTGTGTTTATGACATAATTGGTTATTCCAAGAGTGAACTTTGTTTTTGTTGCCATTTAATATCGAATTGTGTGAAATGCGTTCACATGCACAAGATTAGTAGCAGATTATTTAATTGCATAAAAAATATTAATATGTTAAGGTTATTATGATCATTTTACAAGGGCCAAGAGAAGTAAGTGTAATATTAAAAATCTCAAGGGTAGTAGACGAAATTGTTAGAAATTTCAAGGGAGATTTCTCAAATTATCCCTTTCTAAAAAGTAAGATCTAATTCAAGTAGGGATGACAATTGACATGGCTGTACGCAAATGGGCTAGCAATCCTGTCCCAAATTCCCAATAAGTTAATGACTTGGGTTTTAATCGATTCTCACTTGTTTGGCTACAAATGCCAATGAGAAGGGACATGGCCACAAAGGTTTCGAAAGCATGGATTTAATTTTAATTTTATAATTGCAAATATGGTTGAAAGAAGAATTACATTATACGATATGCAAATCGATTACAGATCGGCAAGATCTTATTTGAATTTGATTCCCTAATTAACCAAATCAAATATGATTAGGCTTACGTTTGGCTTCAGTAAAATAAAAATTGGAAATTTACATAAAAGAGATTTGATCGAGTCAAATATGAACACAATTTTAAATTTATTAGAATAGACAAACAACTTTGAATGTCCTTTTTGATTGGATTTATTTACACCACTACTTGCATGTAAGGTTTTTTGAAACTTTCATGGGGAAAAGTAAAATTGTAAAAAATATTTCTAGTAAATGCCAAATTCTCAAGCTTGTGGGGCAACTTATAAGGGGGACAAATTAGATCTTTAAAATTCTTCGCAGTCCGTCAATGCGGAAATTCTAAAAACAAATCAAGTAGCGCGTTTTAGCTGTCAAGCACCAATTCCAAGCGCGTGCTGCTGCCTTACAATTCATCCTTTCTCCGTTCACATCCACAAACTTTTCTTGGCAATTTTAAACCAAAATTATACCCACTATACATTTATCTACTAAGATATTCAACGGAGATTAGGTTGAAGTCCTGAGGCAAAATCTTAAAAAAGTGTAAAAGTCCATTTTGGTTACAATCATATAGAGACTAATCTAGACTAGGAAAATGGAATTGCTGTTTATGTCATCTTAAAGTATAAATGACAGCAACATTATGGGAAAAATGTAAAATTACTTTTCTCACTTTCAAAACTTGTGCAAATATAGGGTGCAGACAAGCCCTTTTTTTTGGCTGTTCCTAACTGCTGATTAATAGCATTGACTTTTTCATAGTAGTTCATGATAATCCCTTGTCCCTCTATCCAACACCAAGAGATGGCAGAACACAACTTCAAGGGCTGTTTAATGATTATAACACGTAAAAAAAACTCAAAAAGTGTTCCAAAATGCCAACTATTGTACTTTTTTTTTTTCCTGACGGAGTGGGTGTCCGGGTCAATTTTCACGGGGTCCGACTAATTCTACTCCGACCCGGAAGGAGAGGTCACATCCCTCCGAACATGATAACCACAGGACTCGGACCCTTGCGGGCACTAGACACCAACTCCTAAGAAGGCTTGCTGAGATCAATCGAGTTGTTCACGAGAGACAGACAATTTGGTGGGAGGCAAGAGTTGAACTCCTTACCTCCCATCCCACCGGAAAGGTGGTGGCCACTGAGCTTGGTTCCAACTATTGTGCACTAGGACACTTCATTTTGAGTTTGTTGATAGGTTAACGACTTCTTGAATCAGAACTGGTAATTTATTATTAGCATGTCTGTCTGTGTTAATGTTTCCAGTCTTCCATTTGATTTTCTTATTTAATTGTCTTGTGCTACAAGTCCACTAGCAAGCTAATTATGTGCAGTTCCATTGGAGCAACATCTCTAAACTTTCCAATCAATCCATTCACACTCACTCAGTTACAATACTACAATAGACATTTTGTTTATATATGAACTCTTCAGTTCTGTTGCAGCCATTTGACACAGAAATGCCGAAAGCAAGAAAGAAAGAAAGAGCTAAAACTACTCTTCATTAATAATCTCACTAGCAGAATGAAACTTCTCTATTTAGTTGAGCAAGCAGAATGGATTTTCAATCAACTGATGTACAACTAAGCATTTCTGATCAGGTAGCGCTATCTTCTGGAGCTCCTTGTAGGTTTTATCCTTGAACTCGTGCGACATGGCTCTGCCTTTTACAAGTAAAATCATGGATGATACCTCATCTTCGTTGCTAGCTATGTAAAGAACATGGAAAGCTGAAGCAAGGCTGGTAAGATCAACATGGTACTTCACAGACCAGTTGAACTGGCCACGCTTCATCTGATGGACAAAGAGCATATTAGCATCAGAGTTGGATCCCACGATTAGGCATAAATGGCCTTCATTAGTCTTTCCAAAATGTTTCAGCTTTCTTTGCTGATTACTCTTTTGCAGCGGAGGCATTGCAAATCGCTGGAAAACTTCTGAGGAAACATTAAAACATTGCGATTCCTCTGACGTTAGTGCTGGCCAGAGGATGGAGCCATCAAAATAAACTCCCAAGTTGAAACAAACATCACCTAACGGAACTCCTTCCATGCCTTTCCATGACTTGCTCTCTGAAGAATACATATTGACAAAAATCTGTGATCTGCGAAGAAAGCTGATTGCTACCACTTTGTAAGCTATTGATTCGGAAGGATCGTACGCCAAAAACATATTCACTTCCTTCCACGCGCTACGCCTTTCAGGGCATGGAACTGCAACATACTCTTTGGTTGTTGGATTACATATATAGTACCTGTGGTTGTAGAAAAGTTTACTGCCTTTTTTACAAAGGATCAGAAACAATCCATTGCAAGAGCTCAAGATCTCAGTACCACAGATGCTGTTTCCATCAGAATTCAGAAAACTGAGATTGTCTTGGAGACTATTAGGCAGCTTGGCTTCCACTTGGATGTACTCATGCTTGGTTTTGCAAGTTTTCTTGGTAGATATCTGGATGAAGAGGCCTGACACTCTCGGCTTCCAAATTGATTTAAGGAAGGGATCATAAATAAGAGACGACCATCTCTTGGAAACTAACTTAAAACGGAAAAGGGATTTTGCAGGTAAATGTTTTAGAATCTGAATCAAGATTTCATCACAAGATTCAATTGCTTCAGCTGAAGCACATACCATTTTTGTAGTACGGCATGAGTGACACTTGTTTATTCTTTTTCTGCAGGGAGCCATCTTTCAACACCTGAGCGAGAATGCAGAGTCTATAAAGTACTGAGGGATTTCAGTCAATCTTGACGACAAGGAGTATGTTTCTTTTTTTTTTTTTTTTTTTTTTTGATATCTTTTAAGATGAGTGAAAGGTCTTAAATCGAAGTCTTCCTATTTAAAATCCCTTTTTCCTTAATTTTATATCAAAAAATAAAAGAATTAATTTTGTTGATTGAGACATTAATCAAATGAATTTAATGTCTTTTGTTTTACTCACAAATCCTCCCCTTTTTCTCCTTCTGTAAGGTTAAAAATCTCTTTAAAAAAATAAGAGAAAAGAAAAATGAAATGCATTGTGCATACTAAATTTTACATGTCCATCAAATTTTAAAGGAAAAAAGAAAGACTAATGGAAAGAAAAAAGTTAGCATTGTCTCTGTGGAACCTATGTCCATTGACCGCAAATGGTTTGAGATGGGCTTTCTTGCCATATGGGTTTAGTTGCCTTGGGGCTTGAATACAATCCCAATGTGTAAATGGGCTGAGCTTGGGCAATACTAAGCTCATATCTTTGTATATTAAGTTTCAAAAAATATAAACATGTGTTTGTTAAATATATTAATGTTTACAATATATCTTATTATTTTAAAAATTGGTACTATTTAAAAAATTTTTAATCCTAAGTAAGATTATTTTGTATTAATTATGTAAAATTCTGATTTTTTGAATTAAAATTTTATGATTTAATTAATATATGATATTTAAAGGATGAATTTTTATTTCGGTCACCATTCTTGATCCGAAAGCCCAATAAATTTAAAGACATGGACTTGGGCGTTAACATTTCCAACCCGGATGGGTTAAACTCAAACCCAACTATTTATAGTTTTTAACTAGGATTGGGCTTGGACATATCCAAATTCAGCCCAATAGGCCCGATTGACAGGCATGAAAGCACTTATTGTTAATCAATAATTGCGATCAACTTGAGTTTAATTTGTAGTAACAGTCCACATGGCCCTATAAATATATTAGTATTTAGCCCATAAATTAGCAAGATTATTCTATAATTTGATAGTTCAAAGTATAAGAAAAAAACACATTCTTACTTATTCATTAATATTTTTTAGAAAATTAACGTATTCTAAGCCTTTAATTATCATACAATTTTAAAAACTTCTTTGACAATGTAATAATATTCATTAAATACTATAATTCATACCACAAAATTGATTAGATATTTTCTGAGATAATAAGAAATTTGTATGATGACCATAAGCCTAGAACTAGATATTCATACTCAAATTGATTAGAAAAGATCCAACAATTTTTCCATGGACGAATTTGAATTTTTAGCCATATTATCAAATCTACCTATGTAACAATTCGAATTGCACTAATTAAATTTTTTTGCACATATTGATAAAAAATTAATAATTTATTAAAAGGGCAATCTTGTTAGAAGTTAGGAAAGCCATAAGAAAAATTAATTCAAATTCATTTAAAAAGATAAAAGCTGTTAGAAGAGAGAGGGACAAAGTATTAAAAAAAATTAATGAGTAAGGAGTTGGATTCAAATATTGGTAAAATCTAAGTATCAAATGACCCATCATTTCTTTTCAAGTAGGCATGCTACTTAGGTGAGAACAAATGGTTAATTAGATTCAGTACTTTATATACATTCATACACACACACAAATAATCATATTTTCTTGTAACAAGACTAATTGAAGAGAACTAATTAGTCAATAAATACTTGAGTTTTATCTATTTTTGTATCTAACTCTCTCCATTTTCGGGTCAATAAATATCTCTCTTCTATAAGTCCTTTTTATCTCTTCCAATAAGTTTGAATTTTTTATCCACATATTGTAATCTTTCTTGGCATGATTTTGATTGTCATATCGATAAATTTATTAACATTGTTAGAAACTTAAACCAAACATATAATTGCAGGTATATAATCATTTTAAAAGCTATCTCAAAAAATACACATTATTTCTTTTCTTTTATACATTGTTGTATTTAATGAATATTATCACACCATAATTCATTTATGTATAAAAGATTTAAAAATTGGTTGGTGGTCCAACAATTTAGAGCACAAAAAATTTCTATGAACTTGAATTATTCATATCTTGCATTGGTTCATATAGAAGAAAATTATGAAATATCCCATGCTAACGCATGGGCTAAAATATTAATGTCTTGTTTAGTGCTTTTTATCCTATGCCCAACATTGAAATTAGAGGAGGAGTGAGCCTTGCTGAAAATTTTTCAAAATCAATAAGCTTCACCTAAGTTACATAAACTTCCTTGCAAAAGTGTAAAAATTTCTCGATAAAAGATTTGACGATATCCCTTTTTATTTTGTGCTTTTGAGGAAGGAAGGTACAAGATGGAAAAAACCTTTTCATTTTTATCTTCTTTTATCGATGTCCCCTTTTATTTTGTGCTTTTGTGGTGGGAAGGTACAAGATAGAAAAAAAATCTTTTCATTTTTACCTCCCTTATTATGTGTTTAAAAAGATGGATTAATCTTCTATACACTGATAATGTATACACTTTTACCACTAGATGCATGACATATAATTCGAATTTATATTTAAAATTTAAATATTATATATGTGTCATATATCCAACTGTAATATTGTATATACCGTCAGTATATATAAGATTTACTTTTAAAAAATATGGATAGAAATTGAAATTCATATATATGATTTGTTTTAAAAACAAGAGCTACAGTTGGCTCGAAAATTGGGATTTAACACCTTTATCCAAATAAATATTAGATTGAGATAATGGCCTTGATAACAATCTCAACTAATCAATTGGATCAAGAACATTAATCCCACATATAAACTACTCAAATCATTGATCTTCTTCATTTTTTCTTTTAACAATAATAAATAGGCAACAATCAAATAGTTCTGAAAAGACACCTGTAACGGATGTTGAACTTCAACCATCAGCATCCAATTTATCAAAAATATCTTCGGAGGCAATGACCAAAATTCCATACCAAAAAATCCACATCCTTCCATGGGAACTTCTCCTCAGTCTTCCTCGGAATGCACCTTACTCATTGAAGATGAAAAGCAACAAACAACCACCACCTGCACCACCTGCACCACCAGAACAACCACCAAAAAATCCAAGAAACTAGCTCTACTCCCAGTGATCTTTCTTATCTACTTTGAAGTTGCTGGTGGCCCTTATGGTGCAGAAGCTGCAGTGGGTGCAGCAGGTCCACTTTTTACCATTCTGGGATTCCTCATCTTCCCATTTATCTGGAGCATCCCAGAAGCTCTTGTCACAGCAGAACTTGCCACAACTTTTCCTGGCAATGGAGGATTTGTTATCTGGGCTCATAAGGCCTTTGGTCCCTTCTGGGGTTCCATGATGGGGTCTTGGAAACTCCTCAGTGGTGTTATCAACTTGGCTTCTTATCCAGCTCTTTGTATAGATTATCTCAAACAGGTTTTGCCAATTTTCTCATCTGGATACCCCAGATATCTTGCAATTCTGTTTTCGACTTTGTTTCTTTCCTTTCTGAACTACACAGGATTGACTGTAGTTGGTTACACAGCAGTTTGTTTAGGCATTGTTTCACTTTGTCCTTTTATAGTACTGACCTTAGTTTCAATCCCAAAAATTGAGGCTTCTAGGTGGATCAGTTTAGGCCAAAAGGGGGTTGAAAAAAATTGGACTTTATTTTTCAATACTCTTTTCTGGAACCTGAATTCTTGGGACAACGTTAGTACTTTAGCAGGGGAGGTTGATCAACCCCAAAAAACATATCCCAGAGCACTTTTGTCAGCTGGGATTTTCACTTGTTTGAGCTACTTAATCGCACTTCTAGCTGCCACTGGGGCTACTTCTCTTGATCAGAAAAAATGGGCCAATGGCTATTTCGCGAATTTGGCTGCTATGATTGCTGGGAAATGGTTGAAATACTGGGTTGAAATTGGTGCAGTTTTAGCTGTTATTGGACAGTATGAGGCACAATTGAGCAGTTCCGCTTACCAAATTCTTGGTATGGCTAATATAGGAGTTGTGCCTAGATGTTTTGGGGTCAGGTCAAAATGGTTCAATACACCTTGGCTTGGAATTTTGATCGCTACATTGATAGCATTGGCTGTTTCCTACATGACTTTTGCAGATATTATATCTTCTGTGAATTTCTTGTATAGTTTGGGAATGTTGTTAGAATTTGCATCATTTTTATGGTTAAGGAGGAAGACGCCGACCAAGAAAAGGCCATACAAGGTTCCAATGCCATTGCCGGGGCTAGTGATTATGTGCATCATTCCATCTGCGTTTTTGGTGTATGTGATTGTTGTTGCAAGTAAAACTGTCTATATATTCAGTGCTTTGCTGACTGGAATTGGAATTATTTGGTACTTTTTGATGAACCTTTGCAAATTAAAGGAGTGGATTGAGTTTGAAAATGCTGGAGAGAAGGACGCAGATGTGGCGGATGAGGATTGATTTTTTTGATCCTGAGATTTAGATGGGATTCTTGTAATCATCAACGTTAGATACGACTCTCGTAATCATCGTTGATGGTGGGTTTGGTACTCTTCCTGGATTGCAATTGGAGTGGAATTATTCCCACTTGTGCTTAAGGCACACCCTAATGTGTATGCTACTAACTAAAAAGATGATTCCCTCGTAAAACATATATATGTGTATATATAGACACATATATATTATTTCTTTATAAAGTTTTGTTAGTTGAATTCCTTCGTAATCTTGATAATCCTATAGAAAGATGATGGAAGTTGAGGGAGATACATAGGAGTTGGTACGAGAAGGTTGTAGTTAGTGGTCGATTTCAATGGATAACCATGTGCTAATTGTGAGAACAAAATTGGGATAAATTTGCTCTTGTAAGTATGGGTAGATTAGGAATTATAATAAGTGACACTATGTATTTATGTGTCTAGACCTTTTAGTGACACCCCTCCATTATATATTTATCAACATATATAGAATAAGAGCGAGTGGGGGGTTTTGGTCTGAGGCTTTTTTTTTCGTCGGCCTTTCTTCGTTTTCGTCGGCCCTCGTGAGTCGCTCATGATTTTTAAAGACGACATCGTTCCATCAGGTGATCGATGTCAAAATAAAAATAGATTTAAGAAGTTGGACACGTGTTTCTCCCCATCCAAAACCTAGGGTAAAGAATCAAGGCTATCCAGCTCTCTCCGCCGCTCCTTGTTTCGTACCTTCCTCCTTCCTCTCAAAATTTCTCTGTCTTCTCCTCCTTTACTTTCTTATTCTGTGATTTCAATCTTTAGCCTTTCTCAGTCTTTTCTCCTCTTTTCTTTCCTTTTTCCCTGTCGAATCGCCAGATTACTAAAAGAGCTAAACTAATTGGGGGCGGAGAAGGAAATGAGTTTCGTACGCAAATTGGTGTCCTCAAGTTTCCCTGCTCAAGTTTTGAGATTTTCGAAGAGGCCCTTCAAAATGGAGTCTCTTGATGAATCTACCTCTTCCTCCATCAGCCATGGTATACTTCTTCTCTAGGGTTTCCTTAAATTTCCTCCGCTGCCGCCTCTTTCTCTTCTCGTCTTCTCTCTTCGCCTCACCTTGCTCTCAGAAGCTCCGTCTCCTCTACCTTGATCACCGTGGAATATATATCTTGTCTTGCTACGTTAGATTTGCTCTATATTCATGTTTTTCTCCTCCTCTGTAAAATCTTGTTTGATGCTAATGGTTCTTGTGTTTTGTTGTGCAAGCATTTTTTTCATTGCTTTTAGGAGACTGGTTTGTGATTTCTTTGGAAACTGGGATTTGGACTCTGGAAGCCGTTTGTTTGGCTGCCCCTCTTTACTTGTCTTTCCCTCTCCTCCCCCTCATCAAATTTCAGCCACATCTTCTAATGTAGCTCTCTACTACTTACAGACGGAATCCGCAGTAGAAGTTTCTGAACTGAAAAAGGAAAGCTAATCTCAGGGAGATAGACGGAAGAGAAGGTACGACGGCGTCCAAGATGCAGAGTATCGCGGTTCTTCAAACCGAGAATAACTTCGCAACCGGAGGTATATTTTCTTCAACTTTCTTCCTTCTCTCAATATCTCAATCTCTCTCTCTCTCTCGCTCTTTTTTCTTTTGTTTCAATTAATCTGAATTTCTATCTACATTTCAACGGAGTAGTAGTGTATCGTCCTTAATTGGTGCACAACATTAGGAAATCTTGTTCTCTTTTGTTGTTTCCCCTCTTTAATAATCGAACCACTTCAAGAAAAAAACCGACCTTGGGAATTATTTTGCCCTAATACCCATTGTGGGTTTCGTAAATTTTGGAAATTTATTATATTTAGCTAAGAGAATTGGAGGTTTTGGTATAATTTGTGTAAAATTCCACGATTTTTCGGCTAGCAGTTTGGGCTTTAGAATTGCTGGCTTTGTCTAAATTTTTATCTCTTCTATATTTAATGGATATCTGAGGATCATTTAGTATCTGAAACCTAATAAATCTGCCAACGCTTACAGTCATGAGTGTAGAGTTAACTAAATATGTTAACCTCTTTATGAATAACTTTTGAAGGACTTTTATGCTAATTCTTTGCATTCAAAAAGGATAGAAATGGAAGAAACATTATTTTCTGGTATTAGAGACACCTGCGGGAAAGAAGATGGTAGCAAGTTACTGACCCCAGGTAGTATGAGATGAGATTGTATTGTAATTGAGCAGAGTTCACTTATCATAATAGATTGAATTTTGTAGTTTTGAACTGATACATTGTTCTTTTGATTGACTGAGTGGCAATTTGGGAGCCATGCAGTTTGTTTTTCTTGTTTTTATTTTCTTATAATCCAAACCTGAAAAGGATTTGTTTTTTCTCTTACGAGTGATTGTTTGGTTTTCCAAAGATTTAAATTTTCCAGAGATTGATTGTTTGGTTTTCCGAAGGTCAATCTCTTTAACCCAAGAAAATAATAATATTAAACTGAAAAACAACAAAAATGTTGTCTTGGGAAACTATTGTTTATTTACATGGCTTGGAAGTTGAAATTGCTAGAAACAAGAAGCTCACTTTCTCTGATGGTCATATTTCTTCATCAGGTTGACCATTGCCAAATAGAAGAGCTTAGCCACAAGACATCTCATAGCAATAGCACGTCTTATTGTTGAAAAATTTTATTTTATGGTAGTGTTTGTAGGTTGAGTTATGACCCATGATTTATGCTCAGGCCCTTAAAATGGAGATATATAGTTAAGAAAAGTATAAAAGATTGGGGTGGCTTCAACATTTACCTTCAACTAATTTTCCTTGTGTTTTTCCTTTTTGAATTCAGCTTTGTGGAAATTATGGCTCCTGTTTTCTCGCGGGATGCTTGGCGATGTGTTTGGCATATGATTCAGGTTCCCTTCTCTAACTTTGTCATTTGTATACGTATGTTTTAAGCCTTGTTGTACCTCCAACTATTTTTGCTTTTAGCTGCTCTCATTAGCCTTGCTTCTTTCCAGCTTAGAGCTCACACTGATTTTTTACTTTCAATAACATTTCTAGGATGATTTGGTGCATGGTTGGGGATTGGATTTTGTGCTAAGGAGATGTGTGGAGGTCAGTGGTTTTATTTGTTTCTTATCACAGTATTATTTGAAAGATTTAGAAAAGAAGGCTTGTCTACCTGCTTTTCATATTCCTGTTGGAAGGAGAGATCTGCAGGACAGTGGCATGTAAAACAGATAAAATTGGAAAACTTGTATTTATTTCAAATGGATGTCTGCGTATTATCAGTTTCATTGTAAGTGTATTTTGCCTGTGTAGCCTGCACATGAGAAAATTGATGTGGTTGACTCTCAGTGGATAGTTCATCAAGTTATTCCTTCTTTGGGAAGTCAGGTCAGTTAACTACTTTATTACAACCATCGGGACTTGCTTTTCCTTTTCCTAGAGGTGATTAAAATAATGAAGATTAGTTGTTTGCAAATGTTGTTCTGTTCAACTTTAATTTCTATTTTTGAGCAAATGGTTCTTCATTTATAATATAAGCAACTTTTAGCAGCAACCCCCTTGATCTGGTCTCTCCTCATTTAGATTTGTTTTGTTGATAATGATGCTAACAGCTTCAGCTGCGTTGATTCCAGGGTCAATCTGAAAATGGAAAAGCTCCTTGGCAAGGGGTATGTAAGCTGTTACTTGTTCGGTTTCCATTTCAACCTTTCTGTATATTTTTTTTATTGAGGCCTTTTCTTTGTCCTTCGTTTTTTTGCAAAAGTCAACTCTGAAAGCTTCTTCATCCAATTTTATGGTAATCTGAGTTATTCTATATCACCTACATTCTAACAATCATGTTTAAATTAGGATTCATAGGTCTTATATCTGCACTCTGTTTGAATTGCATGATTTTGCATTGAACTGAATTTCATTAGATTTGTCCAAACGTCAAGTAACTAGCTTCAATTCTTTTCTATCTAATTTGGTAGGTAAGAGAGAGGTGCAGAAGTGAGTGGGCGCAGTTTCAAGATCGCCTAGCCAATGCAGATAAGAAATATATTGAACAGCTTGGGAGGATTTTGAATTAGCTAATTTCTGGTTATTACCTGTAAATTTCTTCATTTTCTTTTGTCCTTTTTCCATCTTTGTATCATTGTACGGAAGGGTGTTTTGGAGCCCAATTCTCTCACTCGATGTCTTTAAATTTTTTTTTTTTTTTTTGCTTCTAGCGGGCGGTAGCTGAACTTCCTGTAGTAGTGAAAACTAACGATCTGAAACTGGAAGAGAGTGATCCTTTTTTGTGTATAAATAGATTAGACTTTGCTTCATTTGACTCGCATATTGCCAATATTCATTTCCTTTTCTTTCTTTTTTCTTTTCCTTCTATTTTTTTCTCCCTTTTTCCCTTTTCTATTTTCTTGAGGCGGGGGGGTGTGGGTGGGAATCCGTTGGTTGCCTCATACTGAACTCACCCGCTTACAGTTGTTATTTGGAGAACCATCCCCTGTTACCACTTTATTGAGCTTATTACCATCAGCAGTGGGATTATATGAGTTGGAGTACTTACCTACTTTCTGTTTATACCTTAATGCCTACCTTAATGCCAAATTTCTAATATTCTGGGTATCTCTTTTGCAAGAACGAGGTATTTGAACAACAGAAAGTTTTGTATCGTTTGAAGTTTTCTTGCATTTGGGTATTGATACTATTCATCTTTATTGCTCTGACTCCTACTTCTTTGCACAAGTTCCCTTTGACCTGCAATGCTTCTTTACTTTTTTTTTCTCTTAACTTCTTGTAGCTCTGATTGGAAAAGAAATATAGAGACATTGGAGAAAAATAGTGTAACCAGTCTGAGGACATTGATCAATCTTGGTTCTGAAGTGTACATACAAGCTGATGTGTATGTTTCTTCATACCATATCAATGTCATTTTACTTGGTTGTTCATAGGATTAGTATACATTTGAAGTATTTATCAAGATATGAAAGAATTCATTTCTCTTTTGTTTGAGGTGTGTGTGATTTATTATAACTCTATATGTTTGTGTCTGCCTATGCACTGAAAAAAAAAAGAAAATATATGGTACCTTAGTTGTTCCAAGTATGTCTTCAGCTATGGTGAACAAAGTGTTGTAGGTTCTTTGGGCTACGAGCTTGGGTTTTGGTAGTCTCAGTACCAGATCGAATCATGTCAGATTGATATAGGGTGCAAGAGAAGTGTTCTTTACTTGATGTGATGGTGCTTACTGTAAACAAATATGAGAGATAATTGCAGAAACAAGGCAAAAACAATCAATTATGGGGATAGTTCAAAACTTTAACAGCTTACGAATAAGCGATCGAACCTGAATTTATCTTTCCTGATTTCCAATTTTCAACTCTAGATATTCCCCAGGCAATCACGACCTTCAAGCTTCTCATCATAACTATGCATCTTTAGGAAACATCTGTTTTTTTGAACTTGATAAGTGGAGCCGATTCATGTATTCTTAAGGTAGTTATGTCAATGATTGAGTTGGAATGGAACAAACAAAAGAGAATGATTTATAATGTCAATGTATCCATGAATGATTTATAAGCCTATGTGCTTGATTTATCAACTCTAGATATATTGAGTGATTGAGTTGGATCTATTACAATTATCTATTGATTGAATACCTTGAGCTTTTTGCCAAAATCTGTCTCAAAACTGATTTTAATTTGTAGCTATGGTACATTTGCTACTTGAGGTTGTGATGGTTATGTCGATGTGTAGGATGGAAACAATAAAAAAAGGCTGTATCAGTTATTTTTCCTTAACTGAATTTGAAATGTCTTCCACTCCATGACGACATTAATCTCTCACTCCATGACGACATTAATCTCTCCTGGGGCTAAGCAAGGTTTGATTCCCCTTGCTGTAGTACCTGTCAGAAAACACCTCAGGTGTGAATAAGGTTTGTGTTTGAGTTAAAAAGTCAAAAAAAATAAATATATTGATTTGAGACCAATATTCTATCTTTACACATTGCTTGTTGTGTATAGGTTCTGTAACTACTTTGCTGCAATGGCCTACTGCCCTAACTGGGTAAACTAATTCAAATCTTCTTAGTTGAGATGTTCTTCTTAGATTGTTTGATCTCAATTTGTAGCATCCTCAGGATGGAGATGCCTGTGATACAAGTACAGAAGTACAGGATATGGCTTCTAGCCAAGAATGTAAGTAAGATGTTACGCAACCTCAATTGGGGATAGTATGTTACTTTACATTGTTATTGTCGTATTTATTAGCTTTAGGTCTTTAAGATTGCATATATTGTACTTCCCTTCATTTGCTTTGTTATCTGCATTGTGTTGTTTTAGTTCACATATCTCTTTCACCTTTTGACAGCGTGTGCTTCAGTGATGAGACTATTTTAATCATAATCTATTTGTACTTGGTTGCTAAATTTTAGTGTCTTGTTCTATTGCTAGATTCTGGCAATCAAACACGTTGGTAAAGATCATTAAGTTCATAGAAATCAAACAATTTTGGACATTGTTTACAAATCTCTTTCTTTTTTATGTTCCAGATTTTGGCTCCTCTTCCAATTGGATTTGCAGTTTTCTTGGTTCAATTGGCCAGCATCCCTGTTACGGGCACTGGCATCGACCCTGCAAGAAGTCTTGGTGTAGCCATCATCTTCAATAGAAACCTTGGATGGAATGATCATGTATCTAAGCCTATAATGATTGTGTCTTCATGTTCCCAGTATCTATTCATATTCTTAGCTAAATAACTATTTTATCTCTGGTTTTCAGTGGGTCTTCTAGGTTAGACCCTTCATTGGAGTTGCTCTCGCTGTAGTGTATCATTAGATAGTGATCAAGGCCATTCCTTATAAGAGCCAGGCTTAAAAGGGATCAAATTTTTTATCCTTTTACTGATCCTCATCTTGTTATCTATACATTTATTAAATGGACAAAGATATCATCTATTAATTTTTCTTGTTTTGTTGTTCCCTACTTTCTCTGTTCTGTCAAATGTTTGTATAAATAATCAGTGTATGCTGTACTGAAGCTTGTTCCAATTTCCAACCTTTGAATGAAGGATTCTTCTTTTGTCAATTCAATTTATATTTTGATATTGTGGTATAATCATTTTGGCCAACAGGGTATTTTGTTATTTGGGCTCAGATATATTTGCTTCGAGCTGTATTGCTTGGGCTTGGCAAAAAAACTGTAGTAATGCAAAAGGCATTGAAGGGGGGTAATGCTTGTGTGTCATTGTCGCTACTAATGCCTTTCAATGCCTTTTGCATTACTACAGTTTTCCATTTGCATTAAATTGAAGGGAGCCGCTTTATTATGTTCAACTTTGTGTATACATGGCATTTCTCATTTTCCATTTAAATTTCAATTTAATATCTACCACCATCTTCTACTTTGAAGAATTAATCTCCCTATGCACCTTATTTATACGATATTCATTAAATTTGCAACTATTCTATAATTACAATTATTCCAGTCTCTAATATAATGTATGCTTTGCACACTCCATTTTCATCTTCCAACGATTAGTGTAATTAAGCTTATAATTTCAACTTTTTTTCACATTCACTTGAGCATGCTAAGCACTATTACCAACGCATATTTGACATATTTGACAGGGCATATTGTCTTTAGTTACCTACGCGCATCGCGCGTTATATACCTCCTAGTATGGAAATATAGATATTGTATTTATATTGATTTGTCTAGGAGCCAATTTCAACTTTAAAACAATTCTATTTTTGTTGGGGAACCGCAAAGAAGTTTAGGAATAGCTTAGCTGATATTAGTTTGTTTATTCTTTCATTGAGATCTATCGGGCTTTCATTATCTTGAATGCTTCAGCCAATATTGTATATCTCAAATTTAATATTCTGAAGAAGGACAAAACAACAATCGTCCAAAATAACTAATTTTTTTAAAGAAAAAGATGATTTATTAATTGTAATAAGCCAAAAGACTATACATAGTTAGGTGCCTTAAACACCAGTGCGTTCTGAGTACTTGCAACTTTAGCTTGTCTGGCCAGAGCATGAGCTGCAATCCAACATAAAAAATTGACATCTGTTATTAATGATTTTTTTTTTTTTTTTTTTGTTGGTGCTAAGGAGAGTCATTGGCTCGTTACATGTTGATCAAACGAGAGAAAGCCACTCTACACACGTCCTGGCCCAGTAGTTTTTTAACTGTCTGCGGTGGATCCCCAAACATTGTCAAGCCATAGTCCAAACTTCTCCCTAATTTAGCTAAGTGATCCGCACACCTATTCCCTTCTCTCCAGATATGTTCCAATTTACAATCCCAATTCCAGCTCAACATGTCTCTAATCTCTACTATTATATTCCAATGTAGACTCTCCTTTGAAGTTGACTCCAGCAGTAAAACACTCTGTTTTTAAACTCGGATCGGACCAATCGATTCGATCGATCGAACTGGAAATCGGTCAATTATTCAGTCCGAGTTAACCCTAAAAATCGGAAATTTAAAAACTCAGTCAACTCAGGTCAAAACCTGGGTTTGACCCGATTTGACCCAAAAAAATAAGAACCGAGTCGGTGGGAAAATAAGAATCTGCCAATTTGAAACTCATGTGGAGCCCACTATGTTACTTTTTGCTCCTAAACATCAGTAAGAGTGAGCATGTGCTCGCATACTCCACAGTCGACACTCATCCAATTTTCCGTACAAGGCACGCTCTAGTATAAGCAAGTGTGGTGAATATGTATTAAAGAGAGTATGGATCCACAATAATATCAAAAGATCTGTTGTTCCTAGTTGTATAGACTCTTTTTTTTTTTACTTTTTTTTTAAAGGTCAAAATATTTTTAATATTATGTTTTGCCCCCTAGGATGTTAAAAATTATTAATATACCTCAAATATTTCATACTTTATAAATGTTGTCTTAAAGTTTAGTGTTATTTTTCAATTAAGTCCATAATTTTAATTCTAAACTTATTAATGCTCATTAAATAATATAAATTGTTACTTGATTGTTCTAATTTCTTTGAATTTTCTTGTTATATATATTTGAAACATCAAATATATATGAATATACTTTTATTAATATTAACATGTTATTAGATATTTTACATATAATATTTTAATTTTTAAATTATTTTTATTTATGACATCATCCGGTTCAACCTCGATCGAACCCGGTTCAATCCAATGACCCCTGACCCCTGAACTCGACCGAGTCGATACCCGGTCCGGTTCAGAAAACATGGGTAAAATAGCAGTCTTAGAATCTGACTCAATGACAATTTTTCTTTTTCCCGAATTCCAAGCAATTCGTAACCCCATAAGAATAGCCCAAAGTTCTGCAGCCACATTACTTGCACGCCCCAGGTTAGCACTAAATCCTACAATCCACTGACCATATTCATTTATGATCAATCCTCCCGCACTAGCCCTCTCTGGATTGTGCTTAGACGCTCCATCTACATTTAGTTTAACCCATCCTTGGTTGGGTTTACCCCAACTAATGTATTGAAGCTGCTTTTTCCCAGTCTCGTGGAAATTTGAATTTAGTTCCTAAACATCCATTACATGCTTCACAAGTTGTTTTGCATTGACTTACATTTTCCTATCCAGGCCTTGATGCATCCATTCGTTCCTAGCTGTCCATGCCCAATGAACCACCCGCTAAAACAATATAGGCCAGAAAATCTCCTAATTTCTGCCTATTCCGCCTTCCTTAATGTTCCAATCTACCCATTGGTCCAGAGTTTTAGCCTTGAATATCCTCCAATATTTCTGCTGAACTAACTTACTCCAGATAACACTTATCCATTCACAATCCCATAGTGCATGAGGAATGGTTTCACTTTTTGCCCAACAAATCTCACACTGCCCAGTAGGAAGCAGGTGTCTCCTATGCTTCTCAGCATTAGTAAGCAGTCTCCCATGTTTTACAATCCATAACAGAAATTGCCATCTCCCTAGGCCCTTGAGTTTCCATAGCCTTTCCCATGCCATGCCTTGCTTCGTTACGAGTACGCACTGCCCATCTAAATCATAAGCTGAAGCAGTAGTGAAAGTCCCTATAGCTTCAGGAACCCAGGTAATCGAGTCCGGATTGTCATCCTTACTATAAACCATGGTTGCTCTAATCAAATTGATCTGGTTCTGATGAAGGTATTTACTTAACGTACACCAGTCCCAATTGGAATTAATCCAGTACTCCTCCACCTTTTTAGCCAGTTCTATTTCTGGCACTTCCGCAATTGCCCACTGTATTAATGGTTCCTTTTGAAATTAGTTACTTTTCTACTTCTTGTAGTGATAATAGTTCTTATATTTGCAGACAAATACAAGAGAGGTTAAAAAAGGAAAAACAACCAAAAAAAAGGAACTGGAAATAATGCGATATAAATAAAAGTGACATAAATATCTCTATTAGATATATCTCCAAATTCATGCCAATAATTTGTGTGCTACATAGGAACCGAAGTAAACAAGAACTATTACCTTGCTAAGCAGATGGGGCTTCTTGGTCAATTGTATCTCTATCCCTTGATTGATCTTTGTTCCCCTTGAGTAAGTCACTGGTAACTGTCGCGCCCCACTTTTTGACGTGTGTGAAATTAGTGTGTATGTGAACGTGTGTGAAAATGAAAATAAAAGGCCGTGGGACTTGAAGATGCGACGGTTTGGCCAAACAAAGTTCAAAAAGGGTTTTTGAATGAAAAATGGAGTCGCCACTTGGTATAGAGTTAGGGTGTACCAAGTCACCAAAAAAGTGATTTTTTTGGAAAGAAAAGTAAACAAACCCTTTTAAAAGAACTTTTAGGTCTACATAACCAAAGAAAGGGATCGGGGGTCACATTTGATAAGGGAGAAGGCAAAGGCAAAGCCTAATGCACTCCCTTACCCTAGCCAAAGCTAGTTGCGTGACTTAACCCTTCTTTTCCTAATTTTCCTACCCAAAGTATGCGTTGCATGTTGGATGTGACTAATGAATATGAAAAAGGAAAGAAAAATGCAATCCTAAATCTAAAATGTCTCTTATGAGGCTTTTGGTCCCAACCACATGAGTTGTGGTGGCCAATAAGGAAAGCCCTCATAGAGGTCATGAATAATGCAAATGAAGACTCAAGTATGAGTGTAAGTGTGCAAATGTAAGAAAAATGCAAGTGTGCAAATGTAAGAAAAAGTGCAAGTGTGCAAATGTGAGAAAAGTGCATGTGTGCCAATTGAGAAAAGTGCATGTGTGCCAATTGAGAAAATAAAGGTGTTTGTGTGCTAGTGGATGAAAATATAATAGTAGATACATATAAGTGCAATTGGGTGCAATTTGTGAGGTAAAAAATAAATCATAAAAGAAGAAAAATGTGCAAACATGGCATGTGGATTGAGAAAAATATAAGTTGTGAAAAAATGTGGATAAAAGAGTGAGGAAATGATATGATAAGAATGAGTGTACATGAACCTAGAGGAATGCATCAAGTCGGGTACG